CACCAGCTGACTCAGAAGATACTACATAGATGTTTGTTACCACTGCCCACAACCCCTCCATCCTCATTCTCTGAAGATGCCGATACTGAGCCTTTACTCTTTAGAGCCTTTACATCTTTGCCACTTCCCTTCATTTTGTCCAAACTGTACTTGCCATTCTCTTTCACTTCATGGGCTTTGATCATTTTGCTTCTTTTGACCTTCCCATACACCTACTTTTATATCTTGAACACCTAGCTCAAGTGTAAACCTTCCTAGTCCCACTGCCCTCTCTCCTCGCTGCTGCCAGATACCCTCTGGTATCACTTTCCCCGCTAAAGTATATTACAAGACCCCTGAGAGGCAGGCTCTGATTTGACCCTGATTTGTGACCTCCCTCCCAGTGTTTAGAATGGTGTTTTGCATGTACCAGATACATTATGAAATATTTGTTGACTGAGTGAAATAATAAATCATTGACCGAGTGAGTCTGCTTTACACATACTAATTCTGAACTGTCAGGGGTCCACCAGAACTGTCCGCCTCCCAGTTGGAGGGGTCACGGCTATAGGTGCACACTCGGCAGATGTATTCACCAGGGTGAGTGCTGGAGCCATGGAGCTCAACAAAACAATGTGCTGAGAGGAACAACAACAAAAGGTTAAGGGAGAACGTTTCAGGGGTAAAAGATGGCAGTACAGCTAAGACAAAATTATAATTCCATGATAAATCATAGAAAGAAGAAAGCCAAAGGAATACAGTCTCAGGGTCAGGGGTGGGGGATGGGGGGAGGAAGGGATTATGAGAAACACCTCTAATGGCATTAATGTAACAGAAAAAAGAAGAGGTTGAAGACGTAAATATTGCCACTGTATGTAGTGATTCAAAAGCACTTTGTGACCTCCTAGCAAGTAAGGGTTAGGAGCAGAAGTAGGGCTGGAGGAGCTGAGATATGAGTAAGAATGATAAAAAATATGACTATTCTTTCAAAAAGTTTGACAAAAAAGGAGATAGAATCATAGTGCAAGGGAGTGTGGAAGCAGCTCTGAGTATGAAAGAACGGAGAAAATGGTGGCTCAGCAGGTAAAGCATGGCTCAGGCACACAACCGTTCCCACGGCTACCACCAAGCAATGGAATGGGGTGAAAGAGGACATGGGGACTGACAGAGTTCTGCTGCTTACTCACCTGAGTGTTCTTGGCAAAGCCATCTCCCCTCCCTTAGCTAACCTGTCAGATTATCCTAACAGTACGAGTTAAGAAATGCAAAGGGATTTTACAAGAGCTTATTACTTTGTATAAAGTAAGGTCATATTATTGTAATAGATGGTTTGTCATCTTGAACAGATGTTTGCTGTTTTTCATTTCCACTCATCAGTGTGAAAGAGAGAAGCTAAAACTCCCCCATATATGATACTGGTCTAATTATCTCCATCCCAGCAGAGAGGGTGAGACGATTGACAAGGAGACAGAGAAAGGCAGGATAAACCCTTCCAACTCCTTTCTAGAGATGTTGCCACTTCCCTAAATGAGGACATTAGTCAAGGGCTACCTTCACCGGGTGGACAGAGAACTGCCAAGAGCTCGTATCAGAACTGAGTGTGCCTGCCGCTTCTGTCAACCTGCTCTGCCTTAGCAGGGACACTCTGTCTACCTCAAGGTGCCTGGTCAGGGGCGGGCTTCGGCAGAATCATCACTGACCTCATGACTTCCATGAAAAATAAAATTATGTTCTTAAATAAAATTTTCATTTTGTAAAACTGAAAATACATTGTCTTTGAAGTATTTTATTCATAGTGCACTTTGCTTGCTTGTTGACTTGTCTCCTTATTCAGCATTGCACTTCTTCTATCACTAAAATTTCTTCCTTCATTTAGAGAGGTATCAATTTCCAACTGCAGAATTAATAATGTTATTTTTAAAAAATATATATATATATTTTGATTTTTTTACAGAGAGGAATAGAGAGGGATAGTTAGAAACATCGATGAGAGAGAATCATCAATCAGCTGCCTCTTGTACACCCCTACTGGGAATGTGCCCGCAACCAAGGTACACGCCCTTGACCGGAATCAAACACGGGACCTTTCAGTCCACAGGCTGAAACCGGTTTCGGCTTAATAATGTTCTTAAAGACTGTTATGAATTAGTAGCCATCTCTCTTATGTTTGCCATAGCTTGGTAAACTTGGTTTTCATAGGTGGGAGGGATGACAGTGCTCACAGAAAAATATGCAATAACTGATACGTTATTATTTTCTAGTATTGTGTGCAACTTGGCTAAGATTTCTATAATATAAAAATAGAAGAGTTGTGAGAACTTTGTCACTGGAGTATAGTATGCAATCCGTCTAAGAGCTATATAATATAAAAATGAGAGTGCTGCAAAAACTATGGTAATGGAGAAACGAAACCAAACTGACAACCAGCTTAAATATTTGTCTGCTAAAGGTGGATGACTCATCAATGAGGAAAGGAAACTGAGCTGTCAACTATTTTATATTTTATGGTGAAACTGCCTTTCAACCCATTAGCAGTGTGATGAAAATGTTTGCTGTGAAATGTTTGTAACAAAAGTGCCTGAGGCAAAGATGTTTACAGTAAAACTACCCATTACCTGGGGTATATTTCCTCACAGTATCACACAGAAGGTGAATTTGCAGATCACAGGTGGAATAGTAAAGTCATGGTTACTAACAAAAAGACGAGAAACTAGGCAATTAAGTCAATTCCCTTTCTTCATATAGAAGAATTTATTCTCTCATTCAATGGAAAGAAATAGTAAACAGTGATTTAAATTGATGAGTAATGCAAAAGTTATTTGCATTTACCTTTAAGATCGTTGGGTTTTTAAAAACCTTCCCAATTGTTTGGCTTACAGTAACATTAATTTCATTCGATAAGCACAGCTGGACTATCCAGATGCCTCTTCTTAATAAAAGAAATTAATGAATTACTAGAGAAATCCATATGCAGAATGTTGACTGTATTTTTAAAAACTAAACTGTCTTTGTTGTCAGCATTCATACGGTTTAGAGGAAGAAAAACAACATCAGTAAGTAAGCAAATCCGGTAGCATTAAGGCATATTATGGTAGTATATAAGGGGTACTATGCAGAAGGTCAGTACTTTTGACTAAAGTCAGTCTACTCTACTGAAATCAAGCAAAATTGTTAGGGTTATTACAAAGAAAACAGCATTTCTTACAAAGAATCGAGATAATGATATAACCGACCACATAAATGAGACACTCATTAATGCCTTTATAATCCTCACAAACATACAAATGACCCAACAGCAAATGCTGATGTGTATGTGATGGAGGAGGGAGAATAGTGAAAGCAAAGGACTCTCTCTAGCACAAACACCTTTATTAATTCAACAAATATTTATTGAGTGCCTACTAAGTGTGCCAGGCTCCATTCTCTGACTGAGGACACCACAGCAAACAAAACAGACAAAACTCCCCGCCCACAGAGAGCTAGGATATAGTGAAGGACTTAAAACATGTGCCTTTAAGCAAGTCATGTATCTGGGTGACTAAAAGGTTTGTTACAGAGAAATCAAGACAAGAAAGACTGCCAATACAAACTGAACACACACACACACACACACACACACACACACACGATACAAAATGAAGATTGTTGATGACAGGAAACTGAATATATAGAGAGCAAATTCTCATATTTCTAAATTATTTTTGCTAAAACCAAATACCAGCAACTACTTTCTCTGATGTAGCCTAGTATAGAGGGCTATAAGTATGAACAAAATAAATAAATAAATAAATAAATCTCAGATGACCACTGTTACATGATGAACTGGGATAGAACAACAGGCAACCAAAAAATGCGTACTAACAGACTAGTTTTGGTTGGATAAAAACTTTAAAAAATAATAAACTAGCCTGGCTGATGTGGCTCAGTGGTTGAGCATCCAACCATGAGCCAAGAGGTCACTAATTCCATATCCAGTCAGGGCACATGCCTGTGTTGTGGGCTCAATCCAGGAGGCTGCGATCTATGTTTCTCCCTTATCTATGTGTCTATCTCTCTACCCCTCTCCCTTTCACTCTCTAAAATCAATAAAAACATATTTTTTAAAAATCTAACTGAATTAACTGATAAACTCTCCAATTTATCTGGATATATATTCTGGAAATGAAAGGAAAATATTAATTACATAAAAAAGTTTTTGAGAGTATGGACACGGTTATAAAGTAAATTTAGGCAGATATCTCTGCATATGGAGTAGTTTCACATATTTAGTCCAACCATTTGTTGAAATGTGATTCTGCCATTTCCCCCAGTCAACTCATAAGGCATCAACAGTTTACATTTGCCACGTTACAAAGTAATTTCAACTCTAACAAGAGATTAATGGAATATTCTTGGCAAAGAGATTGCACTCTTTGAGGGCTGCACATTAAATAAATATATAAAAGCAAAACAGACAAAAATACATGCAGGCATAATGCATATACCAGAATCATACGTAAGAGACAAAACTTGCAGCTGAAACATTCCAGGTCATCACTTCTGTCCACTGAAAAAGAAATATCTAAGAACTTCACAATCGAGAGGCTTAGAACATAACCTCGGTCCCCCAAGTTTTAAATGACTGTTCCCCAAAAAGGGAAGTAGTGACAGTTCCTTCCAGGCCCATTCAAGACCCGAGGGTCGAATCCCTTAGCTTTAGGGAAGTGGGACTGGCAAGTACACCTAAAGCAAAGGAAGAGTAACAGGTCCGAAGCCCCATAACTCCAATTAGAAAGCAAAACAGAGTTTAAAAGGATGAAGGGAGGAAAGCGGAGAAACCACAGCAAGTAAAATAAGCAACTAATGGGAAAGCAATACCACGTTGGAAAACCCACCAGGCCATTTCCACCTCTCAAAGGTAGTGCCGGAACTCAAGATCCGGCCTGAAGCAGGTGAGGGGGAGCGGTTCCCGGAAACCCCTTCCCGCCCCTCTCCCACCAGCCCCGCCCATTGGGTCCGCCCCGTCCCGCCCGGCTACTCACCGGATTCGCTTCCCACATAACGGTGGCGAAATCGAGCGGAGAGAGCCTGGGGGAAGGGGCTTGCCGCGGACCGGGTGTTGTTTTTTTTCCCAAGGGTTCTCGGGACCGAAGGGATGGAGAGGCAACCTTCCAGCAGGCCTTCCTTCTCCCGCCTCTGTGTCACAAGCCAGCGTCTTCGGAGCACCGAACCTCCCGACTTCCGCCCGGAGCGCTGACCCCGCCCCGCCCCCGGAAGCCGCCCCGCCCCTACCGCTCCCTCCGAACTCGGCAGGCTGGTAGTAATGCGAGGAGCTGGCGAGTGTCTGGATTGTAATGAAGTTTAAAGGGCTCCTAGTAGTGCTAAATCACCATGGCAACATCCCCATCAAAAGATCCTCGGGCCACGGTTGGCTGTATTTTCTCCGATAGTTATTGGTCGCCGTGTACTGAGCGTGGTGGCCAAGAGCCACACAGGCCTGGGAACTGATCCCAATGCAAGCAGTGGCATTTGGGACAGGCTTCACTACCGGACTCAGTTTCTCATCTTCAGAATGGAGATGATAATAGTATCTACCTAAGGGTGTAGTGATGTCACTTAAAGTGCCTAGCATGCTATATGACATACAGCAAGAGCTCAAGTGAAGGTTGTTGGCCAGATACTGTGCTAGGCTCTCGAGTGGACAAGATTGACCTCATGAGGCTTAGATCAGAATCTAATGAGGGAAAAAACAAACAAAAAGTAATTTAGATCAATAAGAAGGTGCAGTATGGTTTTTAGGTAGCATGGCAAGTGCAGGGTTCCATGAGAGCATACTTACCTAGGATAGGTGTCTGCTCCCCTCCCCACAAGAAGTTTAAGGATGTACTTCTGTTGAAGTTACCTGGGTGAAAGAGCTAAGAGAGGGGAAGCATTTTCTAGTTAAAAAGTAGACTCTACCTATTGGAAATGAAAAAGAAACAATTTGTTATTGAACCTGGTCTTTTCTATACCTTCATACATTTAAAAAAAAAAAAACGATCAAAGAATACCTACAGATTTAAAACATGGTATTATTTTAACTTAATACGATGTGGATATTCTTTATTACAATACATATAAATCTATTTCATCATTTTAAAATCATCATTTTAAAGACTCATGGCATTCCATAGTTTGTATGTGCTACAGACATTTAAGTAGTTTTCAATTTTTCACTATTTCAAACAATGCAGCAATAAACATTCTTGTATTGACATTTCTGTACATTTATCCATGTACCTCCTTTAATTCTAAGAAATTGAATTGTTCAATAAGAAATTATGGAAATTTCAAATTTTGATACATATTGCCAAACTACACTCAAAAATGGTAGGTAAATTTGCAATCTCTAATTTATACTTCTAAATGGATTGAGGTAGGGATCTTCACTTTGCTTTCACTTTACTTTTTGCCAAATAGTTAGCCAGTTGCCCCAATATCATTTATTGAGTAATCTATTCTTTCTCCACTACTTTAAAGAGCCACCATTAATCAAAAATTAATTTGTGGGTATGTCTTTTTTAGCATTCTCATCTATTCTATTAGCTATGTGCTAGTTTCTATGCTATACCATACTTATTATAACTTTGTAATATATTTCCTCTCTTTATTTTAAAATTTTCAAAGTCATGAGTCTTCTTATTCAGAAACACATCTCATGAATATAGGTTTTTATATCTTTACACAAAAATTCACGTAGATTTGCACAATTCTTGTGAAGTTTGTTTCTAGATATTTTATAGTCTTTGTTGTTATTATGAACGAAGAAAATTGTTTTTGTGTAATGTTGTATTCTACCACCTGTGCAAATGTTTTATTAGTCTTAGTAACTTTGTCAGCTGATGTCTCTGAATTTTTATGTCAATGATCATATTGAGGCAGCTAGAAAAATCCCTTGGCAAGTGGAATAGGAAAACTGAGACATAGTTAAATGTCCAAGGAGTTTATAGCCATCTAGTAAGTCCTATCTTCCCTAAATCAAGGACACTTAAGAATAAATAATTTAGCCCTAACTGGTATGGCTCAGTTGGTTCAGTGTCATCCCATGCACCTAAAGGTTGCCAGTTCGATTTCTGTTCAGGCTACATGCCCAGATTGTGGGCTCAATCCCTGGCAGGAGGCATGCAGAAGGCAGTTGCTCAATTTTTCACTCTCTCATAGATGTTTATCTCTCCCTTCCTCTCTTTCATAAAAAAAAAAAATCAATAAAAATATTTTTAAAAGAACAAATGGTTTACACTTTTCCTCCTTAACCAGAGGTTAAATAGCTTAAATCACCCTACTTAGGGAGATAGAGCAGTGCCATTTGTGCCATTCATACCCAAGGACAGATGAAGTTAAGGGAATAAATCTCATTTTAGCACATCAGCATAAAACTGATGAATATTCTATTGAGATCCTCCCCTAAGACCTTCCCCTAAACACTCAGCATTTAAAAACCTCAAAACAAAGCTCCTAGCATGTGAAGGGTGAGGATCATGCCCTCACCCTTCCCTTCTTCATGCTCCACAGGTGTGTGTCTCCTAAACTCTAAGGGACCCCACGAGACTTGCAACCAGCAATAGACAGCAGCAGCTCATCCTGGGCTAACCCCCTGACCTGTCCCCAATGTCCCCTTTTCTCTAATTTCCCAGTGAGTCAAAGCAGCCCTATCTTGGCAGATTTCTTTCCTATTACAATACATTTCCAGATGCCAAAGCAGCCCCACCTAGGTTTCTCCTGTTGCTTCTTCTATGCTAAGCCCTTCCTTGTCTCACTGTCCCAAGCTTTAATAAACATACCCTCAAAATCACTTGGATTTGTGTTGTAAAATCTTTCATACACCAAGGCTAGTGTAGTCCTGCCCCACACCTTACCAGCCAGCCCTAGGAAGACCTGCTCATGGCCATCCCCTTTCCAGTAACAATATCACCTAAGAAGAATGCAGTTTTCTATCTTCCAATTGCATTGGCCAAAACCTCATAAAAGTTTTGAAGAAAGATAAATCAACTTTCTCATAAATTCTATTACTATATTCATTTCTTATTGACTTATTAACATAATGAAATACATACTAGTAGATTTCCTAATGTTGAATCTATCCTTTTATTCTGTTTCATTGTATATTTGTTATTCTTTGAATACACTCTTAGGTTCAATTTGTCAACCTCTTTATTTTTTTATGAGAGAGAGAGAAAGAGAGAGAGAGAAACATCAGTGTGTTGTTCTACTTGTTTATGCATTCATTGATTGATTCTTGTATGTGCCGTGATTGGAGATCAAACCCTCAACTTCAGCGTATTGGAATGGTGCTCCAGCCGACTGATCTACTCAGCCAGGACTAATCTTTTATTTAGGATTAAAGTTTATAATTAATGAAATTGGTCCATTGTTAATAGGTTCTTTGTGACTGTCTTTAGCAAGCTTTGTTAAATGAACAGTAATAGTTTACGTAATTAACTCTTCATCAAAGTTGGAGTGGATTTTTACAAAGCAAGTTGAACCAAAAAGATTAGGACTAGGCTCTCAGCCTTTTGTGGGGTTGGACCTCTACTTCATTTCCTTAAAACCTTGGGGTTGCCTGAGCTGGCAGTCACAGAATGGGATGGAGAAAACACAACTGATTTGGATATATAGCAGGTGAATAACCTTTTATAATATAACTAGAGGCCCAGTGCATGGATTTGTGCACTGGTGGGGGACGTAGCCTGCAGGGACCAGCCCTCTGTAGGAGCACCGCTCATCCCACTCAGCCAAGTGGTTGTGGACCCTCACTCTGAGCAGCTGCTGAGTGAGGAAATTAGTCTGAGCTGATATTTCAGGGTAATGTCTTGGGTAAAGGGGTGTTCTGTGTTCAGGAGGAACCTGGCAGAGAGCTTTGCACCCCAATGCCACCGGTGAATGTCCTTGATGTGTGATGCCTAGTCAATGGCACCATTGGGGATGTTCAGGGCAGCTGTGCTCCAGGATCCTCAGCCCTCAGGACAGCCTTCCCAGGGGGTCCACAGTCATGTCCCCTTTTGCCATCAGCCTATGCCAGCTCCCTGCACTCTTTTTCTAGAACACACCTCAGAGGGCCTGCATCAGCTGGTGGGGTCAGGCCAGAATCTGAATTGTCTCAGGTATTTGATAGGTGCAGACACTCGGCCTCACCCTGCGCCTGGTCAGCCAAATGGCACACCCACTGTGGGAGCACACTGACCACCAGTGGTCAGCTCCTGTGTTGAGCATCTGCCCCCTGATGATCAGTTTACATCATAGTGACTAGTCAGTCATTCTGGTCATTCCGCCGGTCAGTTGCTGGCCTTTTATATGTATAGATGCTGTATTTCAAAACAATATAGAGGAAACATATTTCATAAACTGAAAATAGCTGTGGAAATGTTAGATAATTTTTTATTATTATTCTTTATTTAAAACCACTTAGAGAGCAAGTGTGGGAAAGGGCCTTAATGATCATATAGGCCTCAGGTCACAAACTGCTAGCTAATGAGCGTTAGCACACAGAGTATTTATTTTTTTTCTTAAACTGGATATTTCTCATTAAATGATATGGTTCTCCAGCTTCCTTTAGACCAGTGGTTCGCAACATGGGGCACAAGCACCACAGGAAGGCAATTAGATTTTTTAAGGGGGAAATTCAAGAATGAGTTAACAGTGAATTTTTTTTATTTCTTATGGTTCTAGGGGCCTCATATCAGCATATAAGTATATAAGTATATATTGTGACATATTTATGCATTTTAGTTTTCTATTATATGTTTTGAAACTTTATTTGCTATTTTTTCATATCACTTCATATTATTTTTTAAAACAATTTCTTAGTGATTTCTTCCTCAGTACTTCAACTATACTTTCGTTCTTTTATTTTTCTCTTTCATGGATGCCATGCTCTTTGGAACCTTGTTTAGACTAAGTTAATGGCCTTTTAGGTTTCCTAAAATAGTGAATAGGAGTTCACTTTTTGAATAGTAAAAATTATGTCACAGAGAGGCATCAGAATTTTAGAGATGCTTAGGTGGGCATGGCCAAGAAAAAGTTGGGAACCACTGCTTTAGACACTGTATTCTCATATGCCAAACACATGGCCAGATCCTACAGACCCATTTAGACCGGGAATGTGCTCTCAGGTTTATCTGAATTATCAGACCAATATTGCTCATCCACGTTAAAATGACCTTCCTGGGCTCTATAGATATTTGGATTTGTACTAAAAATAACCCACCTCTTATTTTGCTGAGGAAATGTTATGGATCTGGGACTTCTAAAATATCCTTATAGAAGATACCTTCAGCCGAAACTGGTTTGGCTCATTGGTAGAGTGTCGGTCTGCGGACTGAAGGGTCCCAGGTTTGATTCCGGTCAGGGGCATGTACATTGGTTGCGGGCACATCCCTGGTAGGGAATGTGCAAGAGGCAGCTGGTCGATGTTTCTCTCTCATCGACATTTCTAGTTCTCTATCCCTCTCTCTTCCTCTCTGTAAGAAAAATCAATGAAATAGATTTAAAAAAAAGAAGATACCTTCACTGCTCTCTCCCATACCTTTCTCAACCGTGGGCTCAGTCACTGGGTCTCAACCTCCTAGTGTTTCAATAGATTACTCTCTGCATGTAATGCCTGAAATGTTGCCTATTAGAGAGTCCGGTGCTGGGAGTGCTTTCCTCTGCATCATAGTTCTGGCAAAGTGCCACAGGGTAGAAACTATGCGTACTGACCACGATCACTGGTTTTCTCAGGAAGACCAAACAAATGGAAGACATTTTACTTTATCTTTCATGTTTTCTGTATGTGTCTGGATGGCAAAGTCTTAAATCGTGCTCAACTCAACCCCACTCCCACCTGGTGGAGTTTATGAGCTCTCTGAATGCCTGAAAGGGTGGGAGGAAATGCTCCAGGGGAAAGGAGAAAGCCGAGGAGAACGATCACTGGAAATCATGAAAATAATCAGAAGACATGTAGTTGAATGGCAAAGTGAATGTGTGTGTGAGAGATCAATCTCTGAGAAAGACAACCCTATCTAATAAAGAGGGGATATGCTAATTGACTGTCATGCCCTCACAAAGATGGTGGCACCCAGTCCACTAAGCCCTGCCAGTGTGCCTGCCTCTGGAATTCCCCAGTCCTTTCAATCCCCAAGCCGCTCAGTGCCAGCCAAGGCTCAGGTAACCAGGGCTGGCCAAGGCTTGCACTGCTGGCAGTGGCAGCAGCAAAGGTGTGATGGGGCATTGCCTTCCCCAGATCGCCAGGACCCCTCCCACTCCTGAGGGCTTCCGGACTGTGAAAGAGGGCAGGCCGAGCTGAGATGTCCCCCCTCCAGTGCATTAATTTTCTTGCACCGGGCCTCTAGTAGAAAAAGAAAATAGAACCAACTAAGTGGTGAGATGCAGGATATAGAACATATTTATTTCAATGTTATTTTCATAATAATTTTGATTTTTAAAGGCTGCATTTATTGCCAGAAATGAAGCACTAGGAATGCATATGGAAGACAGGCTGGATTCGATACAAAGGAGGAACCAGAGACCAGAAGAAGATGCAAAAGGAGAGATGGGGTACAGGAATAAGGGGGGAGCGCCATTTGTGCCCATCAGCCTTTAGTATAAAGACCCAGCCTCAGTATGAAACAGAGCCAGCAGTGAGGCAGCCCCAGAAGCAGCCCTGCTGCTGAGGTCTAACATGTTAACAACCAGCAGGAATTAAGTGGTGAAATCAGCAGATGAAACATTTGCTGAAGCAAAGATAAGCATTCCTGGGAAGGAATTTTTCAAAAAATCAAAATGAGTCCTCTAAATCTTCCTAATTAGGAAACATGACAAGGAACTAAATTCAACACTCCCCCCCTCCCCCCCAAAATGAAGTGCTCACCCACACTAAATGGAAAAGCTGTATTGAAAATACCACTGATTATTGGTTTTAGCTGCTCAGGGAAATTATCTAAGCACAATGATGGGCATCAACATGCAGCTCACAGCAGCAGTCAAAAGCAGCAGCTGAGATGTGTGGCCATCCTAATTAGGGGATGGAGAATTCTGAAAAGGCTCTGGAGTGGTGACATTCCTGGCTAGGCTTTCCTTCGAGGAATGCCACATTAGGGTTTTGGTTATTGTATTGTGAAAAGGGAATTGATAGGAGTGATGTGGAAAAGGATAGCAGAAATGACTTGGAAACAAGTGAGAAAAGCTTTGAGGCTAAAAGCAGAAACCAGGAAAACACCTCCATAAAAAATCATTTGCAGAATTAGAGAGGGAGGCGAATAAAAGCCCAAGATGGTAGAAAGAGCAGCTGGGGGTGTACTGTTTGCACTTGGGTCATTCCACACGTGTAGGGCTGTCGCCTGTTCCTTATGAGCACATGGTGGGAGTGGGGTGTCAAGAAATTACAGCAAATTATCTAACATGAATTACTCTTACATTCTTCACTCAACAAATATTTAGCAAGCACCCTCCATGTTCCAGGCACTATCTATAGCTTCTTAAGATATATCTGTAAACAAAATAGAGAAAAATTCCTGCCCTTGTAGAGTTTATGTGCTGGGATTGGGAATGGGAAGGCCTTGGGCTGGGAGTACAATAATGTAGCAAACATGGTACCGATGGAATAAAGTAATGAGAACTATAGAAAAAACATATATAAGGTAAGGAATATTGAGAGTAGTCAGGATGGTCCTCATTGAGGAGATAACATTTGAAGTAAAATCTGGAGGTAAGGAAGCAAGCTGTGTGTGTGTGTGTGTGTGTGTGTGTGTGTGTGTGTGTGTGTGGTGTGTGTGGAGGGAGGAGCAGAGATGTACAGATTGAATGGAGCCTCGTAGCAATTAACAAATACTTCCATGGCACCAAGTATGTGCCTTCCAAGGTCATAAGCTCTTTATATATATTAACAAATATAATTCTCACAACAACCCTAAAGTAGGTACTCTTATTACCCTCTACGTGGCCAAAGAGCGAAGATCCAAATGTAGTGGCTGGCTTCAGAGCCAGTGCTCCTAATCACTCCCCTATCCCATCTCTCAATATGGCTTCCATCCATCTGCTTCTGCGTCAGCCTTGATTACCAAGTAGCAATTGGAATTCAATTACTCTCCTAGGGTAAATTCATGTTTTGTTTTGTTTTGTTTTGTTTTGTTTTGTTTTGTTTTAAAATGAGCATTGCTCACTGCTTTAAGCACTTATGAAGCCCCACCATCTTGCCCTTTGCTTCTTTCTCTAGCCAATACAAGATCTTTCTATGGCAAGTTCATTACTCGGGTCTATTGTAAATGTCTGTGGGTGGAGCTTTGGTTCCATTTTGGAGGGTAAGCCGGGGAACAATGGAGCAGTGCTTCAGTCTAGGAGGGAGAACACAGCGTAATTGGATTTTAAAATTATATAATTGCCTTTTTTCTACTCCAAAGGGCACTATTTGGAGGTGTGTTTGTGACACGATGGTCACCAGCTCTTCTTGTGCCCTCTGTGTCCTGTTCTCTCACAGACTTGTATACCAAAAGCTATTGTATACTAAAAGCCATTGAATTATACACTTTAAATGGAGGAATTGGATGGTATGTGAATTATATCTTAATAAAGCTGTTAAAACAATGTTTTAAATAGATAGGATGTTGGCTTACACCTCCCTGTTTACCTTCCTTCTGACCTCTTTCCTTCTTCAAAGCTTCAGGGGCCCAGAACCATGCTCAGAAAGATGTTCACCACTGCTAAACACAAAGCACTCCAACCAAAGTTACAACTTTGTTTTGACTCCAAGGCTTACATCATTATGCCAAGGAAAATAAATGACTTTTCCCTACTATACCTTTAGTACCAATTTTCCTCAATAGGAAAAAAATCTTAACATTTTGATGTTCAAACAAATATGTATAATATAAAGTAGAAGGAAATAATTCACATGCACGAGAAGGCAGTGGTCACATACTGTTTGAAAGTTTCTTGCTTATGGCTGCCTTCTTCCAGCTGAGGGGCTGGGTGGGGCACATGTCCCCTGCCCTATGGGAGAGATGTCATGCTCACATCTAGGACAGTAAGGAGACTTGGGCTGATCCAAGCTCTAGCTAGCTGAGTGATATTGAGGAAGTCACATCCCATTTTGGGGCCTCAGATTCACATAAAAAAGGTGAGATAATGGAACCAGGTGATGTCCAAGGTCAATGCCAGATCTCATAGTCCAGGGTTTGGTCTCATAAAGAGACAAGTAAGATGCAGGGCTCATATGTCAGTGCCAAGATGCCCAGAGATATAAGAGACAAAAGATTGCTTCCCAGCCTTTGAGGAACTTTTCATTTACTGGAGGGGACTCAAAAGAGAGCTACATATAAGACTTGACAAAATGGTGAAGTAAGTATGTAAACCATCCAAAGAATGCAAGGGACAGGGAGCAGCTGAGAATAATGAATGAGCAGACCTCTGGTCCAGATCACCTAGCTTTGACTACCTGTGGAACCAAAGAGACAAAAAATCTGTTGCTCTGCCAACCCCTGGGTCCTTTGGGCAGATTGCTCTAACACAGAGGCAGTCATTATTAATCTTGTGGATGGTTTCAAACCACAGAGTAAGAAACTCTTAGAGGAGAAATGGGATCTTAGGATCTTAGCCATCATCCAGTCCCCCTCCCCACCCCATCTACATTTAGTCTTTGGGGATGCTTGTCTCATGCTTCCAATATTTTTATTTGATAGAATATCCTTAACATTATCCCCAATCCTGAGTAATCGTAAAACTGGAAGAGGGATGCATATAATATCTTCCTCTTCACAGCCCAGGATGGAATATGGAATGATTTTAAGACAAGTCTCATTATTAGCATGGAGTTGCACAAGATCTGCCTAGCAATGACTTGTCAAAAATCATTGCCCTAAAAAAATTAAGTTCTTACTGTCTATTGTGGAGTGCTCAAGCATTTTTCTATCTCATCTTTAGAGCCATTCCCACTCCCTAAGGATATTTCTGAGCATCTTCACGTGTCTAATCATATGCCGTTGCATGTCGTAAACTTCCTTGAATTAGAACTGATACTAAAAGGAAATAGAAAGGAAAATCCACTGTGATCCGTCCCATTTAATTAATTTATTTTCATTTGTTCTGGGAAGATTCCATTTCATTAATCTAGGAAAGTTTCAGCCCTAGTCTCCTGGATTAATGCTTTCTGGAAACTAAACTAAAAATGTCTCTGGATAGGATCTTGTGGGAGGCCTTGTTGGATTATATAAAGATATTAAATATTTCCTTCCTCCTCAGAGGTTTCTTTCAATTATCCTGCAGAAGGAATGGATCCCTAATAAATTGTTCAAAACTGGGTTTTTCTTCCCCCCTGGAAAAAAAATGTGGCTATTTCATCACTAGATGGCGCTGGCACACAAGAAAGAATAGTTCTGATTTAAAAAAAAAAAAAAAAAGTGAGCACAAACTGTGTAATAATAAGCCAAAAAATTCCTTTGTTTCTGGATGGGAAAGATCAGTTTTTGTCAAGCACATGTCAGAATAGCTTTTTACAGTAGTAATAATCTAATTGTACTCTTTTACCCTAAATCAACCAAATGGTCAAGACTGAGAAATAAAGGTATTTATAATGAACTATAACTTTTAAGCATGTAGTATCAAAAAATAAAAATGAGTGGTCAGGAGACTTCACTGTATACTATGACCAAGGGTGATACATTTTAGATTCTTACTCTGATATGGAATGGGTGTTTGCCAGTTAGTTAGATCATGACCTGTGAACTCAGGTAACTTCAAATTAATTAGAAATTAAAATAGAAACTCCCCTACTTCCCCACAAACCATTGTTTTAACACATTTGGATCTGTTTGAGGATTATTTTATATCATTTGATGAATAATTTACTATTTGTACTGTAACCATTAACCACGTCCTGATAAACTAATACATACCTATCTAAATTAAGTTTTCGAATCTTTGGATTTAGAATGGAGCATACGTGCCTCTACCTTCCTTCCAGCGCCTTGCCTACCTTCATCACCCATGGTAATTTCTTTCACATTAACAAGGGCTCATGCAGGCTGTTTAAACTCTTGCAGTAGCACTCAGAAGCAGCCCATTGTATTTCTAGGCAGTTCCAATAGTTGGGAAATCCTTCCTTAGGTAGTTCTTTATAACTTCCACTTACATATTCCCATTCTTCCTTTTGGAGGTAGAATGCAGAAGATACTGTCTTTTTAAAAATATGACTGTTTCTTAAATATGTCAGGCTAAAATGGCATTTGTTTCTTCATCTATTTTTCATATAGCATGGTTTTTTTATTTATCTGGATAACATTTTCTGATTTGTCTTAAAATGTGTTCTGATTGCACTGCCAGCAAACTGTTAGCTATCTTGATTTCATTACTATGAGTCTATTAATAAAGCCAAAATTTTATTAGCTCTCTTCATTGTTTTCTCTTTGGAGCCTTTATGTCAACAGAAACTCCCAAGTCATTCACATGGATGGGTAGATCAGATCAGCCCAATCTTTGTACATATAATTAATTTTTAGAATTAAAATGCACGTGTTAAGCCCTAAGATATCATGTGGATTTAAGTTCATAGATGTGGTCTGTCAAAATTACTTAGAATTGTTTAGCTCAGATCTGGTGCCAGACATACCTGGATTTAGAATTTTGTTCCTCCCCTTATGACTTGTGTCATCTTGAGCAAATTATTTCATCTCTTAAATCATCAGTTTTCTCATCTCTAAAATTGAGAAAATAATACTACCTGCCTTATATATAAAATTATTACATATTATTTACATGTAATAATTTTGTGGGAAAAGTATATTTAATATAATCCATGGCACATAGCAAGTAACCAGTGTCTGTCATTATTACTAGTAGTAATAATATCCCCTCACATTAATTATCCTTCTCCACATCAAATGAAAATCTGATAAGCTTCTCCTTTAAGACACAGACAAAAATACTATTAGGGAAATGTAAAAAGAGAGCTCTCCACAGTTCACCATCACAGTTGCTCTGCAGCTAATCAGCACTTTGTAGGTATTGCTCTTGCCCCAGCCATGGTTGTACCCACTGGCTCTCAGCCAATTCATGTCCTATCCACCAGGTGATTATGATAGGTCTTGTCAAAAGCCATGCTGAAAGCAAGTATGGATTTGGTGCCTCTTCTTTTTACCAGTCTAATATCCCTATCAAAAAAAGAATAAATAAAGACATGTTTTGTTTTCTGAGATTTCGGGTTGGCTCTGAGTGATCCTTGCTTTTCTAAAGACTGACAGTCTACTTAATAATCTGTTCAGTTGATGGGTTAAAGTGGTGAAATTGTGGGTTATTTCCCCCTTCGTTTCTATTATTATAATAATGTTTGTGGAGTAAATAGCTTTTTAAAATTCTGTTCTAGAATTCTGCCAGGGATAATTGTCAGGCTGACTGGCTTATAGTTTTTATAATATGCCCTTTTCCCCCTTCATGAGAATTAGGACAACTTTGTTCTTCTCTTGTCTATCAACAGTTCTTCTATTCTCCAAGCTTGTTCAGAAATTATTGACAATGGTTCTCGGACTTCTTTGCGAAACCTGGGATGTGATTTGTCTGTCTGGAGATTGAATTTATTAAGGCGGTGGGGGGGGGGGGGGGGGCGGGTGGGGGGGGTGGTGGTGAAAAGGACATCACATTAGTTTCTAGCTCTGGCTTTATCGTTTGCTATCTTAGTGGGCACGAGCAGGTCTTTATTATATTTTAGCTTAAATTTCCCCATCTGTGACATAAGGCATTTGGACTGGATGAAGTTAAAGGTTCTTTGAAGGTCTGATGTCTGTGTTTCAAGTAATCTAACTATTTTTACTAACTTTTCTCATTTATCTTGGCTTTCAGTTTCCTCTCAATAAAATTTGTTCTACCCTTTTAAAATTTTGAAGATATGTTTTGATTTAGAATCCAAACATCTTAGTGTGGCACTCAGAATCCAACACTTATGTGGCCCTGACATTTAATTCCAAGTTTATTTCCTCCTCCCAGGTACATACCTTCTCTCCCTTCTAGGTGGACCTGGTTGCTCTCCCATGCGTATTTTGCTCTGTCCTTTTCCTAAGGTCCCTGCTCTAGGTGGAATGTCATTCCAGCCACCTCTCAGCCAGATTGCGATTCTTTTGCGCTCCCAGATGCTGTGCTCCTCTCTCTGAATTTCTGAAGCGTTCAGTGCAGATCATCTAACACCTAATCACAGTCATTCCTGTGGCGTTTGGATGTGTTCTTGCATTGTATTATTATTGATTTACACATCTGGGGTACCTTCCTCCTGCCCTCTTCCCCTCCCCTTGTTGAGCACTGTCTGTTCCGGAATCTCAATAAACTCTGGTGGGTTGTTAAATGAATTCTAAGCCATTATCAGTTTTTCCTATTCAGAACATTGAGGTAATTGTCTAATCCATGCAAGTTTGTTTTTCTTCTTTGAAGTCCAAAAAAGATGAGTGCAGGCAGCTTAATACTAGAAATTCTAGAAAGCATTTCTTTAAAAAAAAATGGTTTAATAAACAAAATCAGTGTCTCAATGAATAAGACAATCTATTTTTTAAAATATCCTTAGAAGTAACAAGGTGGCTATGACATAGCAATCTGCTCTATGATTAATGAAAATCATTCTTCCATTTACCCTTTCAGGAGGATTTATTTTTATTGATATTTTTAATAGAAAGCATTTGATTTTAAGACAAATAAATTTGAGAATATAATTGATAATGAAGTCAAAACTATCTCACTTTTCTCCCTGTGCTAGCACAGATATGAGATGTGAGACCCCAGATTCAAGATCTGGGACTTAGAGGGCAAGATCATTGTAGATGAATTGAAGCAAGAAGTTATCAGTACCAGCAGCAAGGCAGAGCCACCCCAGGGTGCCT